AGTAGTAGTAGTAGTAGTAGTAGTAGTAGTAGTAGTAGTAGTAGTAGTAGTAGTAGTAGTAGTAGTAGTAGTAGTAGAGTAGATTATTATTATTCAAATTTATGAAATTCAACTTTTCACCGTGATTGCCCATTTGAACATTGGACAATGGTACTTTAAACGCGATAGTCGCTTCCTGACTAGAATGGGATAAAAGCAGTAGTTCATTTTACTACTTATTGCGGCCCATCATATATCGAAGATTTATCGCCACTCTTTTCATGATATTTCGGCATAGCCCTGACGCGTAACGATGCAAATTTGACAACATCCAACAGTGCAAATAAAATTTTACCATGTACGAATGTGCAAAATAATATTTGTCTGGCTGCCAAATGTTGCAATTCCATATTGACAAGTTCTCACGTCTTGTGTAATTCGTTATGTAATTCAGCAAACCTTTTTTTCTCGATCAATATCCACTATTTTTTATTATTATATCCCGGTAATTCTATAAAAAGTTTGCGTTCCTAGCTTGTCACTAACATTACATAACATGACCTATAAGCTTATTTACAACATAGCTACGATTAACACAATGCGAGGCTTTTACTTAAAAGAATAAATCTGCTAAGACGTTGGAATAAACGATGAAGATGCAATGATATGGAAAATTACGAGACACTGGCAGCATTATTGGAAATTGAACGATAATTTTAAATTGCACCAAAGTAACATGTTATATTCATTAATGTTTGAGTATTTCCTTTGCAGAAAATTTATCTTGTTTTTTTTTAAGCCTGATTTTGCGTCCTCGTGTTTCCAAATGCGCATATGTCTTTTAAATTACGCATTCTAATGTCAATAATTGTATTCGACCTAATGCATCCATATACAATAATGGCTCAAATTATGCGACATGGTTAAGTAACAGTGTTCTTATTTGTCGTTTATTAAGCTTCTGAATACTGTGTATTCTATGCATTAAAATAATATCATTAATTTTTTTATTGTTTTCTAAATATAAAGTCTATCGAGTTTTGATAAATTAATCATCTCTGCCATCTTTTTCTCACCACTTCGGATACCAATACGGCCGGTTTGTCAGCGATCCATTAAATACCTGCGTCCCACCCTCAATATCTGAATCCGTGGCATCCACAAACTCAAAAATCATTTTTCCACTCTTGTCGCTTATTCTCACATGTAGGAAACCGACTGCTCCCTCAGCACTCACCCAATCGCCACTTTCGCAGGCTTTGCTGGTTCTACTACCTGCACCAGAAATAAATTGTGCGAAACGAGACCTCCTTGTTGGTGCTAAGAATTCTAGCACGTGGTTGTGTCCAGCAAAGTAAGCTGTTACTCGGTATCGATCCAGAATAGGAATTAGTTCTTTCATTTTATAACGCTGAGCACATTCACCGATCAATGGGTGATGACCTTTAGATTAAAATAAAAAAGTATGAATTTAAGTTTTGCTATTGGCGAACGTAAACTGGTACATCAAGTTCCTGGATATATGCAATGGTCGACATGAATGTTACCTATGACGAATATCCACTTTGCATCTTGATTCTCAACCAGTCTATCCTCGATCCATTTTAGCTTCTCTTCGACTGCTCCATCTTTATCCCAGCCCATTATTTTAAAGTTGTCAAACATTCCTTTTGCCTTTTGTAATGCCTCATCGTAGAAAAATATATTGGTATCAATATGGATCCAAGCAACCGTTGTGTTCTTTGGTCCGAAGGTCGTCCTTCGCACGTAGAATAACGCCGGTAAATAAAATCTGCTGTTTTTGTGGAGACTGTAATCGATTTGGGCGGACACGTTGTTGTACCTGTGTAGGGAATAAAGTAGATGTACGGATTGAATCGTTATTCTAGTCGCAATGGGGGGTTTTTAAAAGATTATGACAAAAAAAAAACGACTATCGTTCTTATAAGAAAGTTCAGCAAACATAGAATTAACAGTCTTTACCAGTCATGATTTCCAGCGACAGTGTACCAATTTATGGACGATAGCTTTTTACCATTGTAGACATCTAACCATATAGTATTCCACTTTTCATCATCAACCGTTTGCACGCCTTGATAGTCATATTTTCCTCCTTTATAAAAGTTATCTGTAGTTTCAAACAAATTAGTCTTAGAAAGTGAATAATTGTCCCTCTTTTTTCCTTCACCGAAAAACATAAACTACTTGATGTATACTTGTGAGTTTCTCAACTAACCTCCGACATTTACAATAAACTTGCTATCGTGTTCATCAGCACAAACCTCCATGGCCTCGGCGACTGATTGCTGTAAAAACTTGTGAGTAGTAGGATCTTGTCCGTTCATGCCCCAATCTCCGATTATTAGAAAGTCCAAGTCTTCATCTGTGTAGATCTCCTCATGCACCGTGGACGTTGTTTGCCAATCACTGATGTCACAAATACACAGACATACGAGTGTTAATAGTATTATTAAAAAGTGTAGGTCAGGTTTTGCAGGTCGTAACATGTCTACAACATACTCTCGGGTAAATGTTCGCCAAAAAAACGAAAACGGTTTCTCACATGATGTGACGTTAAATTTCAAAAAATTTTCCGGTAATGGAAATGATTATCACAACAAAACGTCAGATTAGTAATACCAAATAAATAAAACCAAAGAACCTGTTGCTATTATTACGTATTATTATTATTATTGGACATCAGAAATAAACATGAAGAACAAATTATACAGCGCGTGCATTGTCAACTCTTGACTCGTTAATACTATTAATCTTGGCTGTGATAAGAACCTTCGCACAATTGCCCTGCCATAACCAGTTATCAGTCCCTCTTGGTTAGATAATGGTAACGCGACACCTGTTTAAATAAAAAATTATCTACGATTCAGGCTCGCCAAATACGCGGCAATTAAGGATATTTGATGACAAAGGCCCCATAGCGTTAAGCACTTTGGTAATCTGTCAAAACTGTCCAGAGACTGTTTTGTCCTTATACAGCTACAAACCATCTTCTGGAATATTTCGGCAATTTCTTTATCAAACGAGATATTGTGATGTTACAGTAATTTAAATTCTGTAAGTGGAACAGCACAATAGTTAGACTAATAAGCGATAGATTATCAAACGATGCTAAAATTAGATGAATTAGACAGTCCCATATATGAAGCAGCGTAGAATTGACTTAGCATCGGTGTTCGCAGGGTTTCACATATTAAGACGTTCGATTCCTTCATTAGTTCAACAAACTAACATCCATTTATTCTGAAATTATACTTTTTCATAATCTATCCCCGAATATTATCCATTATATTTGAAATCATTAATTCGTACGTCTCGCAGTTAACTGAGTGGTAATTACGTTACATTACTTGCAACCGATAGACTAACAATTTAATCCAGCGGGTAGAAAATCAATTTTCGTAATTAGTCAATGGCCATCCGCTGTCCCATTACTGCTGACTCGACGATATTGTTTTATGGCATGGATAGTCTGTGGCGACGATATCATCCGAATTTGGTGGATATGTCATTAAAGAACGCGCCTCAGCTGACAATTCGGTCAGCTTGACCAAGAGACTCCAGTAGGTAAGAGCGTATTAAAATATTTACTCTCCTTATCGAAATGTGATAACGGTTTTACATCGTTTATGATAAACAGTGTTCCCGTGTTGTCATCATCATTTCACGTGTTATTTATCTCGAGTTAATAAGCTCGTAAATACCACTTAGAAGTGTATCTCCACTATCTGGACGCTTATCAGGATCAGCATCACAACACCGCTCGGCAAGTTTCTTGTATCCCTCTGGTGTGGAATCAGGCATCGATGGTCGTAGTCCGCCCAAAATCTCGCAAATCAAATCTCCATCGAACTGCCTATCTTTAAAAGGTTGTTCACCAGTAGCAATCAAATACATAACGATACCAAAAGAGTACACATCTGATTTCTGAGTAAATTTGCGAGTATAAAAGACTTCCGGTGCAACAAAGGGTAAAACGCCTCGTGTATTTGAATCTTGTCGACACGAATTCACCGATCGTGAGAGGCCAAGATCACATAAGACTGGTGTTGTCCCACGCGTATTGGCATGCATATTTATGTTTCCACCGTGTAGATTACAGTGCAGTAATCCCATTATATGAATAGTTCTCAGTTGCCATGCAATACGCGCCAAACACTCTAGTTTATCCGACCATGTCAATCTGTTAATGTTTTGACCCAAATATGACAAAAGACTACCATTGTTGGCATATTGCATAGCAATCATGTACTCTTTTGTTACCGGATTTTGTGTGTATCCATAAATTTGAAGAAAACCATGATAACCTGAACACTTGACATGATTTCCAAACTGTTAAATAAAATACATACAGTCAAAATAAGCACCACTATAATTAATACTAATACTACCCATTAGTTGCTTACCTCAGAAATAAATAATTTCAGTGTTTCATCAAAACTCTTAAATCGTTTGAGCACAACGATTTCCTCCACATCGTCTTCTAAATAATTTTTATATCTGGCAGTATAAACCGTTCTATAACTACTAGATCCAATCTCTTTGAACTTGTGAAAGTCGCTATACTGCATATATCTTACAGTGTCGCGACTGTTTATGATTTTGTCCAATAATACATATATGTCGTGGTAGAAAACTAAAAAATATTCTCGGGTAGATGGCTCCTGAGTGATCCCAATTATCCAAATATTATCTGGTGTTAATATCTCTGGATATTCCTTTGATAACTATTTGAGCAAATAAATACAGTCGTTACAACGCTGCACTGGCCAATTTAAACGTGCGATACACACGTCGACAATATTATTTGATTACCTGATGAAAATTGAATAACTGATCGTTTTGTTCATCAACTATCCGTTTTAGCGATACACGTATCAATTCATCTGTTGTCGAATCTAAATGTTCTAGTTCTGCTATATGCGTGCATCCGTGGTGTAACGATGTAATCTCTTGTATGTTGGTTAATAGAGAATGTTCGATCCATTGTATATACGCATCACTTATATCGATCGCATTACTCCATGACTCCATAATAAACGAATCTAATGACTTGTTTCCCGTAGTCCAATCAAGAGGTGCTGGTGCTTTACATTCGAAGCAGAATGCATTTATCATAGGTTCTAATCGGTGTGTGCACGCCAGACATAATTTGTGTCGATATTCATCTTTTATTATATAATACTTTTGTTCGCCCACATCATATGTAAATCCGATGGTAACCCAAGCATTCATGGTAAGCATATCTGGATGCTCATAACATAACTAGTGGAAAAATATGTCAATAATTGTTTAAATTATTATTATTCAATAAACATAGTGCATAAACAAATAGTTTACCTCGGTATAATATAAATCATTTGTCTCTTCCGTTATCTCAAGCGGAATCAATTCAACGTATTCATCAGTAGGTAGACCATACAAATATGCATATTTTCCCCTCTCATCAATACAATCAGATGGAATCCATTCCAAATAAGCTTGATTTGCCGAGTTTGTTTGTAATTGAGATTTCTTAATAAGCTCATCGAGTTTCTTATTATTGCTAGTCCATCCGTTGGATAATTGTTTACATCCACAAGTACACCACACAGGACTACATCGGAGCAGTCCGCAAGTGGAACAAAATCCATATCGAGAATAAAAATCGTAAAAGCGTCTATGAGCAACCATGTAACAATCGTTACCGTAGTTGGTAAACCCTTTTATCAAGTAATTGCGGTTTTTAAGCCATCTTTTGTATCTTCCGAACTGGTTATCGCGGTTATTGCACTTGTGCGTTGGAAGTGAGTATATTCTAGCAAATTCATTCACAAGTGTCGGGGTACATTCTTTGCTGTTTCCTAGACGTAGCAGTATCACCAGGCGGCGATTATTGCGAACAGCGTAGTAGACGTTGTCAATGTGAGTTGGTTGCCTGTTGGTTATTCCTTCACAGGAAATCCATTCAAGTCTTAAGCATTCATCTTCACTCTCTAAGGACGATTGAATCAAGTTGTCAATCGCTGATAACGACATCGTCTGCCAACTAGGGAGAGAGTAAGACGTTTTATTTGTGTTACATCTCACGTGAACATTAACAATCACATTATTCTCAGTCCGCCTGGACTCGACACCTGAAACGCGATCGCTTGTTATAATCCTTTACCATGGTCTGCTTTATAGCAAAGACCCCTCTTTACTACTAATACGGAATTATTATCGCGTGAAAGACTAAAGCATTGTTATATTTAGGATGTACAAATTAAGATTGAAAAGTTTGAGCGTCTTCTCTCTTTAATTCGAACGTTTGATGGAGTGTTCATTACAAGAACGATACCGCTAAAAGGTTTCCAAACTGTAAACACATCTAACTGCCGCGAAAAAAAGTCAATCCCCCTTCTATGGTCATTATCTCGAACAGGACTGTGATCTTCGCTATAGTTTCCACAAATGAGCTGCCCAAACGGTGTGACTATAGTAATAGGGAGAGTTGACTGTATGTAAACGTCAAATCTAATTAATATACTATTATTGGGTTTCTATTTAAGTGGACTTTGGATGGATGCAGACAATTAAAAGTGTTCAAACATAATTAATACTGTAATATTATTAAACACATTTTACGACTATCGTTACCATATTTGTACAGTATATTGGGATATATTTATATTAATATTCATTAATAGTAACGATTACTAAAACATGAACAAAAAAAACCAGTGGCATAGCAATCGCGATCCCTTCAAGATCCCATACCCGGAAGAACACAGACAGGACAACCAACAATTGTAGATTCTCACATCATGAGCGTCAAGACAAACACAAGAAAATAAAAACAAGCAAGCAAAGAATACATGGGACGACAACCAGTTAATACGAAAAGTTTCAAGGGTGAAAGGCCAAATAGCAACGACTCACTGCGGGCGGTTCGATCAACGCTTGCTACCGACGAACCAGAAGAATCCTCTCCACCAACACCCTCTTCTTCTTTCACATTTCCGTCACTTTCTTCGATTCGACAACACAATCCAGCTCGATAATTGAGAATGAAAAGGTCTCCATACACTTTGCGGAACATTCATGAGTCTAGCCTGGTGCTGACCCGAGCTCATTGTGTATATAATCTAGCACAAATTGTGTTTTGTTTATATTATGTTTTGGGGGTCAGTTGAAAAAAAGAAACTCAAAGAAAATTCATTTATCCAAATGTAGAAAGAGATATGCGAGCCGCCCGCATAGGCTAAATATTGACATCTGGTATAACATCAAATAAGCCTTCTTAAGCCATAAAAGAGGCAATTTTCTCTAAGGTCAGCCCGAGGTGTATCTTTTCGATTATATAGCCATTAACAAATTGTTCACGGTAACGTATCAGAAATGGCACACGTCCCATTCTCAATGACCAACACTATGGCACATGCCCCATTATCAACGACCAACACTACGACATATGTCTCTACGCCCGCTACTCTATGACACATGCCCCAGCATACGACGTTCTCAAGACTAAATGGAGAAAGCGACAAGATACAGAAACTGTCGTCTTTGCGAATACCCGTGCAGATGTTATCATAAAGCTTAGAAACTTGGTCCAATATGTACGTCGTACTCTTTCTTCTTTATATTTATACCGAATCCCTGGACGCAAAATGAAGTATGGGAAAGGTTGTTAAGTAATAAATTGTATGCACAATTAGAAAATTGCCGCGCTAAATGGAGGCATATTTACGGATGAGGAACGTAATATTTCAAAATTTCCAATGGTTGGCCTTTACAAAAATAATGTCAGTCCCACTCTTGAGCCACGTGAACCGTATCGATTCACTGCCGTCAATCGTCTTAGTACCAATGCTCCGCAATCGAAATTTTACGTGGACGGAACTACTCCTGGCGATGTTAGGCAAGGTCGGTTTCGTACGTGTGCTTTTTTCACGCGAGCATAATAGTTTTCTCAAGTGAATGGGGTTATAAAAAAGGTGGAGTTGGCGCTCGCTGGTTTCTCGCTATTCTTGCTGCGACTGCTGATGTTCCTGGGCTTGTTGACTCTGTTGTCGAAATTCATGAATCAGTCAAGGTACAGTGATCGACATGTAAAAATTAACAGATTGAGATTGTTTCTTATTATATTATTATTCTAACTGGCTTAACTAAATTGTATGTAGATTTATGGGTTTACATTCTTCAAAGGTTCTGGTTGGATTGGTACCATAGTTGACGATTACATGTTTTACAACGGCACAAACTTGGCCTTCAGGTATCGAGATGTATTTCATAAATTTGTTTTATATTGGGTACACAATACACAATTTATTATATTAATATTATCGTAGCATGTGCAAGGATCTGAATGAAACTTGGGTTCCGCTTCTTGAAAGTAGGTTTGCATTTTTTTTTCTCTTCCATCTATCACATTCTTGATTATGGCAATTTGTAATTTTACGTAGAGGCATTTGCCAAGATCAACGGCGACTACGAAAGCATCGACGGCTCATATGGACAAAGAGGTATTCATAACATTTTTCTTTAACTAAAATAACGTACTGTGGCTTGAAGTCTCGGTGGCAGTGTCTTGGCGACCTAACTTGATGACAACGTCTGAGACGTGCCACACCGGGATTTCTTGTAAGACTGATAGACGTAATTTTTGCGCTGAAAATGAGTTAAATATTAAAATTAATGATTAGGTAGAAAGATATTATATTCGACGTTATTTGCAGTCTTTATTAGCCACAACTACTATGACTGCTAACGGTATTGTTTGTTACTAGCTAATAGATCCCATTAATTATATATAAAGAAAGCAGATTTATATCTACATATATAGTACTATGTATAGTCACAGAAAGAGATTAGCTAATACCGCCTCAGGTTATCAGTGAAAACGTGACTTTACTGCGGATATATCAAGAGCGCAACCTAAATTTGGGGTACTTGCCGATCTATCAAAAACGCAACCGCCGATCTATCAAAAACGAAACTTTTTTGCTATCGAGGCGAATAATTTTGTTATCAACAATCAATACGTCAACAGCGCCGCCATATTAATACATTAGCCGCAACATGTGCGGGTATGCGGACACCTTCGTATATTATAATGATCGAAAAAAGAAGTTCAGACAGTTATCTTTGGTACAGACTGCCAAAATAAAGTATATCTTTTCTGCTGATGTAGGCTAATACATCCAGCATACGATTGATTGCAATCCAGGAGTAGGCCTTTTTAGCGGACCTGATGGCTGCTACCATCAATTACTTCATCACTAGCGGCTGTGCTAACGAGGATATTTAATTTGGCAGAAGCTCAATGTGTAATAATAACCAAAAGGGTCATTTACCACACGAGACTTCCTTTGAAGCTGTTTTTCATGGTGCTGACAATTGAGATCAATGAGGATAATGACATTACCTGTGGTCGGTAGCCATAGAAAGCCCTATTAACAAGAAATATCTGAAATAAGATCTTTTCGTTATTGTAATAAGCGTCTCATCAGTAAAGTTGTTGCTACGAGCGTGTTTATTGCTACCACGTCGACTATTTTGCAATGCATGACTTAATGTCCTTTGATTATTTATTACAGCAATACAAATAGCTCGCGATTATTAAGCCTATCAATATTCTATACTCGAACTCAACAGATTAGTCTAATTAGCATAACAATTAAGATACAAAACAACTCGATATATAAAGCAAACTATGGGATTTCTAAATATCTTACAAAGATGATCCGTTTATTCCATACAATGACAGGTGCTCAATCCGAAATGTCTTGAACATTCAAAGTTACGCCAGTAATCTTGGTAAATTCCTCTAAATCTGAAAAACAGGTCATTATTAGTACAACTTATCATACCGAGTGCGCGCATATACAAATATACGTTACAAATATTAAAATTAACCTATAGGAATCCGATTTGCAGTAGCTTCGTTAATTCTTTTTGGGTCCAACCTTGACTCACGCTTAAACTTTGCTTTGACTTGTCTGCGAGTTCGGGTTGGAAAAAGTTTGGATATTATTTCGAAATCCGTGCCCCACATGGACAAGGCCTATAATGGTAAACAACAAAATATATATTTACATGAGAATTCACACACGTACACGCGAGCTATGTTAATAGATACCTTGTAAAACAGTTCCGTCTCGTCCTCCTTCCATTTTTCGTTTGCTCGGCTTCTCTTCGAATAGCTAGCACTGTTTATTATCGTTGAGTATGGATTTTCTACCACCAATTCTAACAACTCTTCCTGGACTGGTTTATGCATCGCAGACCGATCGATACGTAACGAGTCCTCGTCTATTACTATTTCCCCGTTTACTACTCTGACTTGAGGAGCGGCCGTACTAGATTAAGATTGACAACAAAGGAGTTTTACAACTAATGGTGTTACATCCAAGTTTTTGTCGACTATCAGATACCCTAACGATAACTCAAATATAATTTCCGCCAGCTGTACATACGTCTCTTTGATGCCACCTAGGTCCCATTCGAGAGCTCTAATGTCATTCGACTCTTGTCCAGAATCAACCGCCTGTGACGCCTCCTCATCGCTATGCACAATTTCAATCGAGTGTTCAGAAGTAACAGAATTCGTTCTTTGTCGTGTATGCGATCCATCATCCTGCAAGACATATTCTTGGGCGCCATCAGAAACGTCTATATCAGAAGCAACTGAGGTTTCACTTTTCCGAGACCTTGTGTTATTGACTTCGTCTGGATCTTCTATACCATCGAGTATGGATACCTCTTCACCCTCGATTATCGAGGCAGATTGCGTTGGTCGAATTGAAGGAGAAGATGGAGAAGGTGACGAAGAAGGTGAAAGAAGAGGAGGGGGTGGTTGTTGAGGTATCGGTGGAGTGACTTCTGGTTCGTCGACAACAGGCGTTGATCGAACTGCCGCAGTAAGTCGTTTTTTTTTTGCCTTTCGCTCTTGAAATTTTTCATACTTGGCTTTTTCGAGTTCCCTAAAAACTTTTGATTTCCGACCAACCCTTACGTCTTTGCATAGTTCTGCCATGGTAGTAACATTGACATTCACTGGCTGTTCGTCGGGATCGTCCTCCCATGCACGTATTCTTCGCTTGTTTGTTTTTATTTTCCTGTGTTTGTCTTGACGCTCAGGAGGTGATAGAGTCTCTACAATCGTCAGTTGTTCTATCTGTGTTCTTTCGGGTATTGGATCTCTTGAAGGGATCGCGATTGCTATGCCTCTGGTTTTTGTCATGATTTTATTTGCTAGAGTTTACTTGATTCAGTACAGTATTAGAATATATAAAATCAAATATTCCAGCGTACAAATATTAATATGGTAATGATGATCCCTGTATTATAATTAGTATAAAAAAATATGAATAACTGCATTAATTACCTCGTTATTATTACCGTTATAGTTTTGATCGAGGGTGTTGCTCTTTTGACAAACGATGTCAAATTTTCCGTAATAGTAAGCATAATTTATTATTTCGATTATTGAATGTGCGCTCTTGAAACTATAAATACAGTCGACTCTATACCGGCACGAGTGTTTTAGCAGTTTCTGGCCTTGTAACGAGATACCGGCGAAAATAATGGCGCGCGATTTTTTATAATAATAAATTAAAAATGTACTTTATTATAAAATTTAAAAAATATTAATATTAATATGTATGTTTTCTTAAAGCTAAGTAGTGGGACTACAACTTTATTATAATGTTAATACTTTGTATGTGCTCCTTCAGCATCAATGCATGCTTGAACTCGATTTGCATGCTATGATACTATTAACTATTGCCTTTTTATCAATTCCTTCCCGTTCCTTCCTAATAATACTAATAAAATTGTTTTGGGTGATTTTTTTTCTGTGCTATCATTTTTTTAACATGTTTCTCGACATTATGCTTCAAAACAGCCCAGATATTCTCAATAGGATCGAGATCCGGACTGTATGAAGGCCAGGCAAGAAGGCGTTGTGGGAGACGGGTATTCAGATTATTTTGGACATCCCTGGACGTATGTTTAGGGTCATTGTCTTGCTGAAAGACCCACCGACCACCTACTAATGCGTCAGCATTATCATAAAGTTGTTTATTTAGAATCTGACGATATAAGTGGCGGTTAAAGTTTTCAGTAAAGATATATAGACCGACTTTTCCTTTAAAATTGATAGCACCCCAAACATGGACTTTAAAGGGGTGTTTTACCATAAGTTGAATGGACTTTTTTTCACGAGACCATGCCAACATTGTATTGCGAAACATTTGAAGAGTTGTTTCATCTGAAAAAACAACTTTTTTCCAGTTGTAATGCTCATAATTACGTGCCCATAATAAGCGATTAGTTTTACTTGTTGGGTCAATAAATGAACTTTTCTTGGAAGAATTGCAATATAACCAGGGTGAGAAAGCTCGCGATGGATAGTTCTTTCACTAACTTCAAGATTTTGATACTTTTCTTCCAAGACAGCCTTCATTTCAGTAGCCGTCGTATAATGATTGCTTTTGACGATCATCCCAAGCTGGCGTCGTTTTTCTGGTGTCAATTTTCTTGGACGGCCAGATTTATGAATTTTGCAAAGTTTCCCACTATTCTTTAATAAACTGACATATCGTTGGCATGTACGTAGGGAAATTCCAGTTTTGCTTGAAATTTCTTTCGGAGTGCGGATATTTTGCTGCCAAAGTAAGTTAACAATAGAACGGTTTGTTTTTACGAAGTTTGGAGACATTTTACAAAGCAAAATAAACAAAGATGACAATAATGTTTATTGTTTGTTTGTATATATTTTATTTTGGTAATCTGAACTATCCGATTTGCTAACAAAATTAGTCTATGTTGGGCGATTGGCAGCGTTACGCGTATTTAAATTATTCTAACCAACGCGCCACTATTTTCGCCGGGGACTGTATCTTTATTTTATTTTGCAGACCAATTTTCTTTTTCTATATTACGCAGTAATCGTCGTAAGAGCAACAGATTATCTCTACCAACCTCTATTTTGTCATTACGATTTTGTATAAAATGCTTCAGTACCTCGACTTCCTCGTTAGTGTTAGGGTTATCTGATGATTCATATTTTCCTGAAGAACCAAATCGATTATCTCTTGATTGTTTACCAAGCTTCAATTTGGATATTTTTGTCAATGCCCCGACGGCCATATTGTTTACATTGCTCAAGAAATTCTAATAAATAATAACGGTTTTTTCAATGATTCATTATCATATAATGAATTTCTCTCTCCGGCACATAATTTCGACCAATGATTGTGATTGATGATGAGGACATTATTATTATCATTGACGGATACAAGTTGCTTTGAATTTTCGCTCTGGACTCATAACGATAGCGATCCCCGTTTCCTAGTACAGTACATATGTATATACAAATAATCACTTGACTTCGCCGGTATAAAGTAAAATTTTTTATATAATTTAAAGTACACGATTTCGTGTAACGCTGGTATAAAACAGATCTGCCAATAATAATATGGAATTTTTTGGTTCTGCGAAATTGGACCGATATAAAGTATATTAATATGCAAGACCCGTATAGAGAGAGTTGACTGTAGTAGTAAAGCACTGAGCAATTGCGTGGAAGGCAAATACATGGTGAAACTCGATATAACGGAGGCTACGGTCCCGACTCTTTTCTCCCTTGGGCAATTTTCAAATTAAAAAAATATTGAGGAACAATATTAAAGAATAGCGTAAAACATATATATTGAAAGTAAAAAAAAATGTTTAATACAAACACTAACCACTCACCACTAATATTGGGATAACGCTGTAAACTTTAATTACAACTTTTTATTCTAAAATTTAGAAGAAACAAAGCATATTGAGTGAGCAAGATATACCTAATACCAATAATTAAAAATTATTAAGTTACAAAATATAATATAATTGCTGGTATATAATAATAAAAAATGGTAATATTGACAATTAATTCAGAAAAAAAAGTTTTCTGAATTACAAGATTGTTATTGTATGAAAAACATGTCAATATTGAAATTGCAACATAGACATTTCCAAATAATAATAATAATAATTGATTGCACTGTTGATCACACATCAAAGCTATGTGGCGTGATAGATCTTTGAGAGATATGAGTATATGATTGTTCATCATTTGTGATAAAAATAAGCAGTGGAATAAACCATGATTTTGTTTTTCTTTAATCAGAAGGTCAAGCAGATGTAGAAATAATTTGAATATTGTAGATTATAATTAACTTTGTTTATACAAATAAGCTAATTGTTGTCTTCATAACTGTCACTAAATCAAGGTTACTCTTCCCTGATTATACCTCTAAACTTGATAAGCTAAATTCTGATAAGGTAATTGAGAAAGCAGACAATCTTTACTGTTTGGGCACATTTGTTTATATTAATATTTCAATGTTTTACTTTATTATTATTATTATTATTGTTACGGTCGGCGTCCACAATAGGGTTGGGAGAGCAATTAATTGCGTAGGTGTGTTCTGCCGAGAGGGGGTTT